GGAGGAAGGGGGCTCCGCGGGGTGGAGGGGAGCGGTTCGGGCGTGGGCGCGCGCGCAGGCCGGACGCGGGTGCCGCCACCGAGAGGGAGGTGGGGAGGCGCTCAGAAGCGGGTCTCCGGGGCGTGGGGACGCTGCAGGCTGGACAGGAAAGAAACGGGCGCGAACGGACCGGGGCCGATGGAACTGGGACCGACGGAACTGGGATAGGGCTTTGGCCCTTTAGAGAGTTTACAGTCCTCGGGAGACGGGACATAATAGAAGACAGTCACAGCACAGGGTGACAGAGTGACCGGAGTTGTACGAAAACAAGCACGGGAGGGAGAAGACGTGTGTGTGTGTGCGGTGGGAGGAGGGGCTGGGAAGGGCGCCGGAGAGGAGATGATGGGAGGTGGCTGGGAGCGGGACAGGACGAGGTGTCCGTGGGCAGAGAGGAATGGAGCAGCGAGTGACCGAACACGTAAGAACGTGACGCGTGGGATGGCGATGAGGAGACACGAGGGGTGCAGAGCTCCGGCGAGGCTTCTGGTGCAAGGCAGAGGGGCTGGGGCTCTGTCCGTAGGGGAGGCGCTCCCTTGAACTTTGTTTTAAGAAGGGGTCTGACTCCGGTGTTTAGATACATCCTGGCCTTGTGTCTTAGAGATGGGGTTTAAGAGGGGCAAGCATTGGAGGCAGGGCAACTCCAGACAGTGAGGGGGCTGGGGCAGTCCGGGCTTAACTAAGGGAAAGTGCCAAAGGACAGACACTGGTTGACAGCCGAACTTCAAGGTCGCTCAGAGAATCCACGAAGAACTAAATTTCTTTCTTCTGAGGATCCAGTCACCCTGCTGCAGAGCAGGCTTCCAGTCAATCAGGTTGCCCAAGGATGAGAAAAGGAAAAAAAATTCTGTTTCAAGACCTTGTTTCCCTTTTCTTCTTTAATTCTTATTTTTTGCCTTTGTTCCCTTGGCAGCAATGTATCCTTTCCCTCCGTTGTTTATGGAGAGTAAACTCCTGAATGCTAATTAAAATAAGTGTCTTTAAGTTGGTTTTCATCAAGGTAGCAGAGATGGGAGAAACTTAGAAATTCTGTTTGAGATGACTAAGTAGGTGATGGTGCAGTTCACCAAGTTAGGCATGAAAGGAGGTAAGAAATATTTGGGCAGGGGTCGTGAGAAGCAGTTGGGGAACTTTGGGACATGTTGAATTTGATGTGCCTCTGAACTGTCTAATTGGAGATGGCCGGTAGACTTGGATAATCAGAACTGGTATTTGTGGAGAGAGAGAGAGATTTAAAAATATCAGCATATTTTAAAAATGGGAAATAGTTAAGATCACCCAAGATAATCCAGAACAGTAAGGAAAGCATCAAATATTTGCTCTTACTGTAATATTTATTATGTGCTTTATCATTTATGATTACAGTACAAGGAGTTGTTAAAAACTTCATGGAAAGATTTGTATTATCTCCTTTTTTGGCAGGGGTAGGTGGCCAGTATGGGGATTTGTATTGTCTTTTAATTGAATGTTTTTCACAAACCTGTTGAAGTACCTTTGTATAACAAAATGGATAAGTGCATGTACCGTCCTGTTTAGCATTGGTGTAACTTTGGGCAAATTACTTAATCTTTCTACACCTCAGTTTTTCATCTATAAAATAGGGATAAGAAAAATACCTGCCTCATGAAGGTGAGGTAAAAATTAAAGTTAAAATGTAGAGAGTACGGAACAGTCCTAGAACACGGTTCCTGGCACATAGAAAGTGCCCAATAATTATCAGTTTCTTGTAACTACTATGTGCCACGTCCTATGTATGCTAAGCACTTTCTGTACATTATCTCTTGGGCTCATTGGAAGAACTGTTATTGTTTATTTTTGCAGATGCTAAAACCGGCTCAGAGAGGTTACATAACTTGCGCAAGGTCACATGGCTAGTAAGTGGTGTTGAGGCTGCTTTAGCTCAGTTGGTTAGAGCTCAGCCTTGTAACATCAAGGTCAGGGGTTTGGATCCCCATACTGTCAGTTGCCAAAACAAACAAAGTCGGGGGGCTGGTCGGTTAGTTCACTTGGTAAGTGGTGTTGGTTCAACATTGTCAAATGTAATCACTTCAAGAAAAATGAGGAGTGGAATGATTGTCTTATTTTGCAGGTTAGAAGATCATTGAAGACATTCTGGTGTGGGCGGGGAGCTAGATTGCAGGTAGTCCGGTGAGTTATGTGGGTGAGAGTGAAGTAGTTGGAGGCTTTATGTAGAGCTCTCCTTTGAGAAAGAAGTTGGTTGGTTCAAAGAAAGAGAAATGGGACAGTAGCTCGGGAGAGATGATAGAGGTTAGAAAAGCTTTTCTCAAGACAAGAAGACTTGGAAATGTTTCTAAACTTGAGGGAATAGGCTCAGTGAAGAGGGAAGGACAAAAGGTGAGAAGCGTAAGTGACGGAAGGTTCTTGATGAGGTGAGATAAGACACAGAAGACTAGTCAATCTTAGAGGAGGAGACTACTGAGCAAGGAGACATTCTGAGGTTGGAATGGTACAGGACGTAGCAGTTTAGTCACTGTCGTGTAAGTCATTAGCTAAGCCTCCCAGCATGCCACACATGGGATGGGGTAGGAGACCGATTTGAAAGGCAGAGCGAGGATTTTAAACACTGTTAAGAACTCTTCTGAGATTTTAAAATATCTTTTTAGATATTTTAACTTATAAATTAGAAACAGCAGTGAAAATTTTTAGAAAAGTGGCATTCTTTGTAAGTTTCTCTATTTTTTCATTCGTGACCTATTAAGTTTATTATATAAGTAGAACGTGCTCATTAAAAAAATTGAAATTGTACAGAAGGTAAAAAATGGAAAGTAAAGTTTTCCTCCTCTCTTCGATAACACCCTGCCCCCAAACCCCGTTTAATCTTTTTTCCTAGAGGTCACCACTCTAAATTGTTCCGCGTGTCCTTCCATATATTTTCTGTTTGTGTGTGTCTCTGTATGTACATATGCATCAAAGTGCATAGATAAAATACATGTCCTTTTTAGAAAAACATAAGTGAAATTCTTGCTGTACATACCATTCTGCAGTTTGCTGTTTGGATTAACACTATATCTTACATATCTTTCTATGTAAAACATATAGATTTTCCTTATTCTTTAAAGTGGCTGTATAACTGTATATGGAAGCACATAATAGAATTTATTTAACTTCATCTCTTGTTGATGTATTTGTTTTGTTTTCCTTTTTTTCTCTTTGTTTTTGCCATTACAAGCAATGCTTCCTTCCATCTTAGCGTATCTGTCTTTGTACACTTGAGTGAGAAAATTAGTGGATCGAAAGATATATTCATTTTGAATTGTGATAGATATTAATGATTTTTTTTCCAAATGATAATTTATTTCCCACCCTCCCTACCCCCCAGCAATGTATGGTAGTGCTTCTTTTCCTCATACCCTAGCCAGTATGGGTACTGGGCACTATTAAACTTGTAGAGATTTACCACTCAGACAGAGAGTATCTCTTTGTTTTAGGGTGCATTTCCTCATTTAAGTGAAGTTAAGCTTCTTACTTGTTTAGTGACCATTGTCCTCTTTTTCTGTGAACTGCTTGTGAATGGCCTTTTTTAGTTTTCTATTGGGTTTTTACTCTTTTTCTAAAGCACACTTTGTAGCTCTTTATCATGAGTGTTGGAAATACCTTTTCCAGTTTGTCATTTGGTCTTTAACTTTATGATTGTCTTTTTTATTCCCCAGTCAGAAATACTTAATTTTTAAGTATTATTGTATGTAGTTATGTTCGACAAACGTTTTCTTTATAGGTTATTTTGGTTTTAAGTGGCACTTTTAAATCCAACTATTGCTCATTGAAATTAGAAGGTTTTCCATGGAGGCCACACTGAAAATCTCTTTAAAGATACCTCAAAATTTCTGTTCCACTGTTGTTCTTTTAGATACTGCTTTTGAAAGTGGCATGTGGTCTTTAAAGCTACATGAACAAATGGAGATGGTGATGATATCTAGTAGATTTTTTTAATCACATGTTTAGAACCTGAGAAACTGGTATTCCTTTAGTTATTGTCATTTTAAAAGTTATCGGAAGATGCATTTTTAAAACCATTTTTTTAGAATTTTATTGTTTAGTTTTTATTTATTTATTTTTACAGAATTATAAAGCTGTCTGCAGAGATTTGGAAAATGGCAACAAATGAAAGTGCCAGCATCTTTAGTTCAGCATCCTTGGCTGTGGAGTATGTAGATTCACTTTTACCTGAGAATCCTCTGCAAGAACCATTTAAAAATGCTTGGAACTATATGTTGAATAATTATACAAAGTTCCAGATTGCAACATGGGGATCCCTTATAGTTCATGAAGTCCTTTATTTCTTGTTCTGTTTACCTGGATTTTTATTTCAATTTATACCTTTCATGAAAAAGTACAAAATTCAAAAGGTGAGTATGATAAACTTGAAATGGACTATTATATTAGTGCTGCTGAATTATATTTATAAATTTAATTTTGAGAGATTCTAAATCAATACTGTCCAATAGAAATATAATGAAGTCATATATATAATTTAAAATTTTCTAGTAGAATACATTAAAAAAGGTAAAAAGAAATAGGAAAAGTTAATTTTAATATGTTTTATTTAACTCCATAAATGTAAATTATTTCAGTGAGTAATCAAAATAAAAAATGCTTAGTATGGTATTTTATATTCTTATTTTCATAATAGATCTTTGAAGTCCAGTATGTATTTTACTCTAATTTTAGCCTATGTCAATTTAGACTAGCCTTATTTAAAGTGTTCGGTAGCCACATGTTCCTAGTTGCTGCTGTATTGAACACCATAGTCCTAGATCATTACTGATAGTGTTTCAAAAATAGTTTGTTAAATTGGGCTTTATTACCCCAAAATAATGTGGTAGGTAGTTTAGCACCATTTATATTATCCCAAATAAGGAGGTGATGTTCCTAATTTCCAGGTATTTGCTTCATTGCACCATACGTCTCTTGAGAGCCCGCTATATACAGGACAACGTGAACTCTACTAATATGTAGGCTAGGCTATGGGCTTGACACAATTTTCAGGAAGAATCTTGACTACCTTATTAGAAAGACACATGATTTAGTAGCACTTGGTAAAAACCTATGATAGTTTCTAATGCTTACTATTTACTTTTCTAAAATGTCATGCCAAACTAAAATTCAAGGGCACACAGCCTCAGACTCTGAGCGTTCATCTATGGGTAATAATTTGCATTCACTCAGTATACATTGGGTGGTTAGTCAGTGTACATGGTAGGGAAGAACAAAAGTGTTTCACCCATTGCTTTATTTATAGAGCTGATTTGTTTTATGGCTGGCCAGGCAAAAGCATCCTTTTCCTCCTTCACTGACCTCTGCAGTTGACTTATTTGGTCAGAGGTGGTGTATTAGTCCATTTTTGTGTTGCTATAACAGAATACCTGAGACTAGGTAATTTATGAAGAAAAGAGGTTTATTTGGCTCACAATTCTGGGATAGCTGCATCTAGTGAAGGCCTCAGGCTGCTTCTACTCATGGCGGAAAGTGGCAGGCAGGCGGAGCGGGAACCGGTCTCCACATGGGATCCGAACCCTCGGTGGGAGTCCCAAGTGGCGCACTCTCCAGTGCGCCACCAGGCCGGCCCTAAACTTGTTTATTTTTAAAACTGGCAAAAGAAAAAAAAAATAGCTTCTGGTGGTAATGAAATAGTACTAAAGACTTTCTGCTTTTAAACAGAATAGACAACTTGACAGTTAATGCACGTGCTTGCTAGTTAGGGGAGATTTTACAGAAATGAAAAGATAAAGTAGACTTTGCAAGATCTGTGTATTACAAAAAATCATATATGTTAATAATTCTCCAAGAACTTTTTTCAAAAGCATGTGTACAAAAAACATTTCTAAAGTCTATGGCCCTAGTAATGGTATTTCTTTATATTGCAGTGCAGTTATGCATAAAAAAGTAAAACGTGGTAAACTTTGATATTGTACTAGGCATGAATTTTTGATTGCCTTTTTTACTAATTTATGCATACTCTGAATAATATAGCACATGGTTTTATTAGTTATAGTTGATTAAACTGTAATTTCTAGGTGCAGTTATGCATAAAAAAGTAAAACGTGGTAAACTTTGATATTGTACTAGGCATGAATTTTTGATTGCCTTTTTTACTAATTTATACATACTCTGAATAATATAGCACATGGTTTTATTAGTTATAGTTGATTAAACTGTAATTTCTACAGCTACATGAGTATCAGATTCTAGCCAGGAAATTAAAAATCTGTTAAACATTGTTTCTATGGTAAACTGTGCCATTGCCAACCCAGGCCTGAATCTTCAATTTATTTTGTCCCCAGTCACAGAAAGGAGGTTTGGAGGAGTGGGGTCCAATAATGCTCAAAGTAGAAATACAAAGACAATTGTAAATTACTTTATCAAATCTTATTTTATTGTTGTGGAAACTGAATTGTGAGCATTACAGAGCTATTTAACTGCTTAGTAACAGCTCTGGTATTAGAGTCCAGGCCACTGGATTGATTCTCAGTTTAATGCGTTTTCCTATTTTTGTGAGGAAGATAATTCTTAAAGAATTTCAAGAACAGTACTGAATCTAGAGACCTAGATTTTACTTAATCCAAATTCTGCTAATAACTGCCTGTGCGATCCTTGGCAAGGTGGTTGACTTCTTTTAGCCTCTGCTAATGAGCAGCGGTTCCCGTACTTTGGATATTTGTAGTTCAGTTAAAAGAATTTCGTTGACAGATTTCTGAATTTTTAGGTAAGGTCATATAAAACAAAACAATAATGAATATTTATTATCACCATCTTTTTGTAAAACCAAAAGCATTTTTTCTTATCTAACTGCAGCCTTTTAAATTGAATAAATTTAGTTTTTTTGATAATGGCTTGCTAAGCAAGTTAGTATCCTTATGAGGTTTTATGAACATCTCATTACATTGATCTTACTTTTCTTATTATGACATGAATCTGCTAACTTCATCAGCAGCACACATCTCTGAAGTTCTCAGCTCAGAGAGTTTATATGATTCTGTCATTGTATATGAACAAAAATGCACTTACTTCTGGGAATGCATACTGCCGAATGCCTGGAAGCATCAATTTATCTGTGTAATGACGTCTTCCGATGCTGTGTGTACAACGTCCTCAACAGTTGGCCCCAACTGTAATCTTAGCATAACACACATTTCTTCTTCTCTGGAACTTCTGGCAAAAGAAGTCAGTGGTCTGTGGGCAGCAAGGACTGGAGAGTTATTCATTCTGTAGCACCTCTTTGGTTTGAGATCATTCTGGCTGGATTTATCTGTTAACAGTTTCTTTACCTATTTAAAGTAATGATAGCAGATGTCAAGAATTTAGAAGGCAAGGATGTTGTGATTCCTGAGTCTTAGTTACTATAATATAAAATTAACATAATTAACATAGGATTAATGTCTAATATAAACAGTAGAGAAAAAATTAGTAATTTACTTAGAGTTGTTAAGCTAAACTACTGATAGCAGAGATTATATTAAATATTGTGATTTTTCTCCATAGGAAAAACCAGAAACATGGGAAAACCAATGGAAATGTTTTAAAGTAATTCTCTTTAATCACTTTTGTATCCAGCTGCCTTTGATTTTTGGAACCTATCATTTTACAGAGTATTTCAATATTCCTTACGATTGGGAAAGAATGCCAAGATGGTATGTAGATAAAAATTTGATTTTTATACTTAGTCATGGTTTATTATCCAATTAATTGATACTTGATGTTTATTTTCTTTCTTCATTTGGTTAATGTTTGTTCTACACTTTGGAAGTAAACGAATAGGGAAAAAGTAAACCATTGTAGAAACTTAAAATCTTCTCATTTTTATCTTTTGATACAGATGCACTTCGACTTATGATGGGGTTACATCCTGATAAACCATCCTAAGTTAAAAATATAATAAGTTGAAAATGCATTTAATTCACCTAATCTACCAAACATCATAGCTTGTAACACAATGCCTATTTTATAATACTCAAAATTAAATTTTTATAATAGTGAAAAATAAAAATAATAAAAAATCAAAATTCAAAATTTGTAGTTTGATTTCAACTGAGTACATATCGCTTTTGCACCATTATAAAGTCAAAAAATCTTAAGTTGGACCATCCTTAAATAGGGGGCCATCTGTATTTTAAAATTTTATTGGAAGGGGAGTTTCTAGCATCTGAAATGTCCATAACATCCTTTATATGACTGTGTGCAGATATATGTGCTTATACTAAGAAAAAACGTATTACATTTTAAGTCTAAAACAAGTGAAAAATGTAAGAGATTCAGGTCTATAAAAATTGTGTTCATATAAACGTGTGTGTGTGTATCCAGAGTGTGTTTGCATTCAAATAATACTTGAATTCACCTATCTGTTCCTGACATACTGAATACAGATATACCAATATAGAGATATATACCTTTTATTACATAATGTATATGCAACATATAAAAGTTTCTGTGTATGTGTGCATTTGTATAGAAATTATTTTTTGCCCATTGCACTTAAATTACGTCCTCTGATGGAAAGAGTGACAATATTAGTGTTACTGATTTTAGTTCAAGTCCTTCATCAATGTTATTCTTTTTCTGGTGGTTTTGAATTTTGTTTCTTAACTCTGATTTTATACCTGTGGATTTTTGTCAAAATGAAATAGAATTAGTATAGTGTTCAGTCTCTTTAACCTTACTTTCGGTTATATCATATAGCTGTATCAACCAGTTTTGAGAATTTGTTCATCAGTATATACAATAAGGTTGAACTGGTGAGTGTGTATTTGGTTTTACATAGTGTCTCAGGCAGTGCTCTCAAATAAAAGTCTAGATTGTTTAAGTAAAAGTTATGTCATATTCATTATAGTATTTTCATCTTAAAGGTATTTGGTTTTGGCAAGATGCTTTTGTTGTGCAGTCATTGAGGATACTTGGCACTATTTCCTGCATAGACTCTTACACCACAAAAGGATATATAAATATATTCATAAAATTCATCATGAGTTTCAGGTATGTTAGAATTACACTTAGTACTTTTTTTATATTAGACATAAAATGTTTATTTTTATTTCCCGAGCATTTAAAAAAAACTTGTCAGTGATGTTTTTATTTCCTTTTCCTTTGGCATAATTATTAAAAACATAACACACACATACCCACACACAAAACCCGTTCTACAAATTTTCTTCAGTGTCTAACTTTAATAGTAAGTTGAGACCCGAGCATTTAAAAAAAACTTGTCAGTGATGTTTTTATTTCCTTTTCCTTTGGCATAATTATTAAAAACATAACACACACATACACACACACAAAACCCGTTCTACAAATTTTCTTCAGTGTCTAACTTTAATAGTAAGTTGAGACCTGAAAGAAAAATATTACATGAAGTAGTTCAGACTCTCATCCTTGCGGCCAGAATGCTATATTGACATAGGTAGATGCCTGGTAGTTTGACAGCAACTGTAGTAATGTTAGGGACATTTAAATGAGGCCCCAACACAATAAGCCTTTAATATTTAAACTTCTAAAATAATTGTTGACTTAGTTTTCACACATTTTTATTGTGTTGCTTACTCCCACAAAAACAGTGGTTTTTATCAGAACTGCTTTGATGTAACTTTGGAAACAACTGCATTGATCATAATTACATGGTATGCTAAATCAAGCATCCCTTTCTTGGCAGAACAAATACACATAAATAAATCAAAATTAGAATTCACGTCAGTTGTTTAATGCCTTTATCTTAAACCATCAAAGACAGTTATTAAGACTTTATGTCCCTAGACCTTTTGATGTTTGATAGGAACAAAAAGATATTTTTATTCAGAATTACTACTATTATTTATATATGTATGGGTAGGTATATTATTATTACATATGGAAATAATATAATTTTATAAAACTATATTCACAAATAAAATATATATTTTAGTTGGGCCTCTTTAAAGGAGCAGAATCAATAGGATATTTATACACGGGGCGAGAGAGATTTTTAAGGAAGTGGCTCATGTGATTGTTGGGGTTGGTAAGTCTGAAATCTGTAGGTCAGGATAAGGCTGGAAATTCTGAAGAGTTAATGTTGCAGTCTTGGGTCCAAATTCTGCAGAACAGCTGGCTGGAAACTCAGACAGTTTCCGTGTTGCAGTCTTGAGAATTCCTTCTTCTCAGTCTTTGCTCTTAAGGCTTTCAACTGATTGAATGAAGCCCACCTTCATTATGAAGGGTAGTCTACTTAAATTCTACTGTTTTAAATATTAACCACATCTAAAAAATACCTTCACAGCAACATCTAGACTTGTGTTTGACCAAATAATTGGGCACCATAGCGCAACAAAGTTGACACGTAAAATTAACTATCACAATATATTAAGGAATTCTTGCCTATTTGTTTTAGGCTCCATTTGGAATGGAAGCTGAATATGCACATCCTTTGGAAACCCTAATTCTTGGAACTGGATTTTTCATTGGAATTGTGCTTTTGTGTGATCATGTAATTCTTCTTTGGGCATGGGTGACTGTTCGTTTGATAGAAACTATTGATGTTCATAGGTGAGTTATGCTTTACGTTCAGGTATAAGGTATCATAAAATATCCTTATTTTCATGATCATAAGATTACTTCTGAGTAGACTGATGGAAGTTAGTGTTCTTAATATTATTTTTAAGAAAACAGGAGAACATAATCATTAGATAAAAATTTGTATATTAGAGATGCTTTTACGTCCTGATCTATACTGTTATCATTTTGTAGTGATAATGAGTTATTTGGGCAAATAAAATAAATATTCAGGATCAGCAATTTCTTTATCCTTCTGTAATAAACCTAAATCTAATGCTTATTTGGAAAAATTCAACCTTCACTAAATAAGACTATTTCTTGTCTCTACCGTCTAACTGATAAAAGCATTTACAAGGTGAAAATACTTTTTGTACGTATTTCATATGCTTCCTTTCTGCTGATTGGAAGACATTTGTGCTAAATTACTTACATTGAATGCCTTTTAAAATGCTTACTATGCTAATTTTTCATTTTGTTAAAATTATTATATGTTCATTGCATTTTAACTTGGGACTTATTACTATAATCATGAATGCAGTCTATCAAATTTTAAGTATTTTTAAACCACTAAAGTAACAGAATCAATGCTTTTAGTTTTAGTCAGAGAATACTCTTCTGTAGCAAAATTGTAACCGATATCCATTTCATTTTTTCTTTCCTTCTTTTCCTTTCTCCTTTCCTCCTTCCCTGTCAGCCCCTCAAAGGGAGGGTGGGCTTGGGGTGATTTAGACGGTATGACTGTGGATATCTGATTTTAGATATGTAGTTAGAAATAAAGGCGGATACTCTAAATGGGACTCTTTTTGAAATCATTTATTTTCTCCCAACTGTAGAAAAGCGCACTGGTATTTTAATTAATCATGGTACATTTAATTACAACTTGTAAAAAAAGTGAAAGAAGTTGCTACACAGTGATACCTGACCTTTTTAATGCTTGAAACTAATTCACATAGCTTTTCCTAAAAGACATATTTAGTATTATGAACTTTATTTATAACTGTTAAAGACTATGATGAGAAACCTCCTCTAAAAGAAAAAATAATAGTTCTTTAAAATCTGTGTTTAAAGATTCATTTATCCCCTCATGTATAATGTATAATTTCCGTACATTAATAACCTTTAATTATCTTCCTGGTGGGAAATTTTTCTACTTTACATACAAGTTCTGTATATGTAGAAATAAATATATATTTCAGTACAGTTTTAATGAGGAAGTTTTAAAGGCCATGTTGCTAACCTTACAAAATGGTTTTAAGTAATGGAAGAAGTATTAATCTATGTCTTTTCTCAATAATACCATAGGCCTGAAGTTGACATCGGTCTTTAAGTCTTTTAGATTCTTGTATATACTGGTCATTTTAGAAAATTATTTATAGTGGTGTTGGTCTTATATTTAACTTTAAACATCCTTTAGAATTTGCCTGAAGATCAAAATATCATGGATTGCACCACATGATTTGATAGAGTAAGTGACTGAAGCTGTAAAATTAGGAACAGCCAACACTGAGAACTTCTACTCCCATCTGGAGCTGACCAGTTTGGGGTGATTCTTTCTCTGAAGAGTCCTTTTTGATTAAAATGCACTACTGACATCTGTAAATTAAGGCATTTCTGAATTGATATAAGTGGAGTATTTTAGTCTAAAGGTTTTTCAGGTTACTTGAATTTTTTTAAAAATGAGCTTTATTTCTGCTATTTACCCTTTCATTTTTGTATATCAAGTTTTCATTATACTTAAAGCTGTATCTTGAAACTTTGTGAACTGACTTGCTGTATTTGCACTTGGAGCTATTGAAATAAATGTGATTTTTGTCTGATTATCTGGTTTCCAGTTTTGAATACTAGCTGTCACCTTTTATTATCAGGAAAAGTGCAGAAATTACTAAATTATTATTAATGGGTTTTTTTTAGGTGGATCCAAACCCCTTCACCTTGTCTTTATCAGCAGCACCAAGCTCTAACCAAGTGAGCTGACTGGCCAGCCCAAATTATTACTAAGTTTCATAATAAAAGAAACCGTTCTATGTTTTTTAATTTTAAACATTTTTTTATTGAAACACTGAATGTACATATTTATGGGGTACGGAGTTATATTTCAGTACATATATGCAATGTATGGTGATCTATTCAGGGTAATTTGCATATTCATCCTTGCAAAACTTAATCATTTTTTCGTGGTGTGCAAATTTGATCTCTCTTACAGTCATTTGGTAACATGCAGTAAGTCATTGTTAATTATAGATTCCCAGGTCAACTGAACACCAAAATTCTTATTTTCCCTATCTAGATGTAATTTTCTGTCTATTAACCAACCTCTCACCTTCTCCCCTCTTCTCTCCCTGCTCCTACCTTTAGTAAGCACAGTTTTTCTCTCTCCTTTTAACAGTTCAACTTACCATTATTATTATTTTGTTGTTCTCTTTTTTAGCTGCCACATGAGTGAGAACGTGGTATTTTTTTCTGTGCCTGGCTTATTTCACTTAATTTTTTTCAACTTCATGCATGTTGCTGCAAAGACCAGAATTTCATTCTTTTTGTGGCTGAGTAGTATTACATTGTGTATTTGTATTTTCTTTATCCAATCATCTGTTGGACATTTAGGTTGGTTCCATATCTTGGCTATTGTGAACAGAGCTGCAATAATCATAGGAGTATAGGTATCCTTTTGTCATGATACTTTCTATTTCTTTGCGTATATATGCAGTAGTTGGATTGCTGGGTCATATGGTAGTTCTATCTGTAGTTGTTTGGGAAACCTTCATACTGTTTTCTATAATGGCTGTGTTAGTTTACAGTCCCAACAATCTCAGTGTATAAGGGTTCCTCTTTTTCCACATCCTCACCAGCATTTGTTGTTTTCTTTTTGATAATAACCATTCTAACTGGGGTGAGATGATACCTCAAAAGTTTTGCATTTCCCTAATGATTAGTGATGTTGAGCAGATACCTGTTGGCCATTTGTATGTCTTCTTTTGAGAAATATCTATTCAGTTCTCTTGCCCACTTTTTAATTGGGTTCTTTTTTGCTATTGAATTGTTTGAGTTTCTTATATATTCTGGATATTGTCAGATGAGTAGTTTGCAAATATTTTCTCCCATTCTGTAGGTTGTTTCTTTACTCTGTTGGTTTTTCCCTTTCTTGTGCAGAAGGTTTTTAGTTTGATAAAATCGCATTTGTTTAGTTTTTCTTTTCTTGCCTGTGCTTTTGAATTTTTTTTTTAATGATAAACATTTATTTATTTATTTATTTATTTATTTTTTTTAATTTTTATTTTGTCAATATACAATGTATATGATCATTATGGCCCATCACCGATGTGCTTTTGAAGTGTTATTCATCAAATCTTTGCCTACTCGTACGTCCTGGAGTGTTTCCCCCATATTTTCTTCTAGAAGTTCTATAGTTTCATGTCTTATATTTAAGTCTTTAAATCCATTTTGAGTTGATTTTTTTTTTCCTTTTTTGTCTTTTTTTCGTGCCCAGCAACGGATCGCAACCCTCAGTGTCGCGCCCGTACCGGACCGGGACCGGCCACGGGATCGCAACCCTCGGTGTTGCTCCCGCACCTCGCTCAGCCAGTGAGCGGCCGGTCTGTATGTGGGATCCGAACCCTCGGCGGGAGCGCCGCCACACTTCCCAAGCGGCACACTGTAGCAGTGCGCCACTGGGCCGGCCCTTGAGTTGATTTTTATATATGGTGAGAGACGGGTCTAGTTTCATTCTTCTACACACAAATGTCCAGTTTTTCCAGCACCGTTTATTTTTATTTCTATTTTTATTTTTTATTTTTTTCCTTTTTTGTCTTTTTTTACTGACCAGTAACGGAATCGCAACCCTCAGTGTTGCGCCCGCACTGCACTCAGCCAATGAGCGGGAACCGGTCTCCACATGGGATCCGAACCCTCGGCGGGAGTGCCACTGCACTCCCAAGGGGCGCACTCTCCAGTGCGCCACCAGGCTGGCCCTCCAGCACCATTTATTGAAGAGTTTGTTCTTTCCCCATTGTATATTTTTAGCGCCCTTATCAAAGATCAGTTGGCTGTAAGTATGTGGGTTTATTTCTGGGTTCTCTATTCTGTTCCATTGGTCCATGTGTCTGTTTTTATGCCAGTACCGTGCTGTTTTGTTTACTATAGCTTTGTAGTATAATTTGAAGTCAGGTAGTGTAATGCCTCCTCATTTACTCTCTTTGCTCATAGTTGCTTTGGATATTCGAGGACTTCTGTTATGCCATGTGAATGTTAGGATTGCTTTTTCTATTTCTGTGAAGAATGTCATTAGTATTTTGATAGGGATTGCATTGAATCTGTAGATTGGTTTGGGTAGTATGGACATTTACACAGTATTAATTCTACCAATCCATGAGCATGAGATGTCTTTCCATATTTTTGTGTCTTTAATTTTTTTCATCAGTATTTTGTAGGTTTCATTGTAGAGATCTTTTGCCTCCTTGGTTAGGTTTATACCTAGGTTTTTTTTTTTTTTTCTTTTGATAAGTATTGTAAATTGGATTGTTTTCTTGATTTCTTTTTCTGCTAATTCTTTGTTGGTGTATAGAAATGCTAGTGAGTTTTGTATATTGATTTTTATATCCTGCAACTTTACTGAATTTATCAGCTCTTAAGAGTTTTTTGGTGGAGTCTTTGGGTTTTTCTATGCATAAGATCATATCATCTGCAAACAAGGACAGTTTGACTTTCTCTTCCAATTTGGATATCCTTTATTCCTTTCTCTTGCCTAATTGTTCTGGCTAGAACTTTCAATACTAGGTTAAATAGGAGTGATGAGAGTGGGCATCCTTGTCATGTTTCTGTTCTTAGAGGAAAAGCTTTCAAATTTTGCCCGTTCAAGATAATGTCAGTTGTGGGTTTTTCATATATGGCTTTTATTGTGTTGAAATACTTTCTATACCTAGTTTGTTGAGAATTTTTATCATGAAGCGATGTTGAATTTTATCAAATATTTATTCTGTGTGTATTGATATGATCATACGGCTTTTGTCTTCCCTTTTGTTGATGTGATGTATCACATTTATTGGTTTGTGTATGTTAAACTTATCCTTGCATCCCTGGGATGAATCTCACTTGATGATGTATAATATTTTTGATGTGTTTTTGGATTCTGTTTGCTAGTACTGTTTTGCATCTAAGTTCATCAAATATATTGGTCTGTAGTTTTCTTTTTCTGTTGTATCTTTGTTTGGTTTTGGTATCAGGGTGATGCTAGCCTCATAGAATAAGTTTGGGAGATACCCTCTGCTTTGATTTTTCTGAGTAGTTTAAGAATTAGTATTAAATCTTTAAAAGTTTGGTAGGATAGCAGCAGTGAAGCCATCCATTCCTGGGCTTTTCTTTGTTCGGAAACTATTGATTTCTGATTTCATTTTATTGCTCATTATTGGTCTGTTCATGTTTTTTATTTCTTCTAGGTTCAGCCTTTGTAGGTCCTATGTGTCCAGAAATTTATCCATTTCCTCTAGGTTTTCAAATTTCTTGGCATGTACTTGTTCATAATAGTCTGTAATGATTCTTTATAGTTCTATTTTTTAAGTGCTTTATTTGCTGAACTGTTTCCTGGCAATTT